CCAGCCAGTGTCAGTGTGAGCCAGATCGTGGGGAAGGGAAATATTAACCCCAGCCAGTGTCAGTGTGAGCCAGATCGTGGGGAAGGGAAATATTAACCCCAGCCAGTGTCAGTGTGAGCCAGATCGTGGGGAAGGGAAATATTAACTCCCTCCAGCCAGTGTCAGTGTGAGCCAGATCGTGGGGAAGGGAAATTGCTTTATCCCTTTCAAACACTCACTAGTTCTCCCTATTTTGCTACCCTGCTTCACCCCACCCGAGACTTTTACTCTTTAATCATAATTGTTCATGATGGTTAAAGGTTTTGTTTGCTGAGCCTTCTTCAGGCTGAACAAATAGACCTTGTCTATCCATGGAACAAAAGTCTCTGCCGACCTATATCGGAGGGAGATGGCTCAAGGACTAGAGGAACATTGTTCAATGGGAACCTAGAAGAAAACCTGTCATTGCTAGAAAAAAAAATAATCATGGAACAGTCTGCTGTGTGGTCTGCTGGATTCCCAAATGGGACATCTTCCCACCACACAGTCCCTGAAAACCGAGAGGCTAATGACCTGTGATATTAGTTTCTGAGAATATGGCAAGACACAAAAGAATAGTCCACGAAGTAGTAAGGTATTGTTTGAATTGATTTTTACTCTTTGACTTTTTGAGGGGACCACCACCCGGCTCCCAAGTAAATTACACATGTAGGCTTATTCTTAGTTATGAATAACTGGGCTTAGCTTGGCTTGTTTCTTGCCAGCTTTACTTAACTTAACCTGTCTACCTTTTCCTTCTGGGCTTTTATCTTTCTCTTATGTCTGTAAATCTTACTCTTCCTCTGTGGATTGCCGGGTAGCTGGGGGGCTGGTGGCTGCTCCTGACATTCTCCTCTCCTTCTTCTCTTGCTCTGCCTCTCCTTCTATTTATACTCTCTGTCTGCCAGCCCTGCCTACCCTTGCTCTTGATTTGCTATTGGCTGTTCAGCTCTTTATTAGGACCACCAGGTGTTTTAGACAGGCACAGTAACCCAGCTTCACAGAGTTAAACAAATGCAGCATAAACAAAAGTCATACACCTAAAAATAATATTCTACCATAGTAATGTAATAGTTTGAGTTCAGAGTCATTGGTCACACATGACCACATGAGCAGACTGGTGGACAACACAGTGGTCCTCCTGTCCTCCTGTGTGGACTTGGAGATGAACAGACTAAGTAGGGTGAAATCACATCATCCCCAGGGGATATGTCAGACCTTTTATTTTACGTTGATGCTTTCTTGTATTTCTCTATATTTAGATCTTAGGGTACTTTAATTTCTGTTTATATGGTCTTTGTGCATATTTACAGTTTTGGATGCTGCTTTAAGCTACCATGCTCTAACTTCTGTCTTACCATCATGACTGCCCCTTACCTTTCTATACCAAACCTTCTTTACTTCATTTCTACTTCAGTGACCTCTCCATGACCTCTCATTCCTCCAAACCAGGTGCTTTCCTACTCAATTCACATTTCACCCCCTCTCTCTTCATCCATTCCTTCTTTTCCTACCTAAATTCTGATGCTCTTAGCTCTAAAAACTATCTGTAAACTACACCTTCCCCAGGCACCACCCTGACGCCACTGTTTCTGAACCTTGAGAGGAAGCCAACTATAATACAAAGAGTCTCCTAAAACTAGAGTCAGGACTGCTGATAAATTAATAGGGCAACTACTGTGTGCCTCCCAAGTCGCTGCAGAAATTTAATCCATAGTGAAAAGCCTATAGAAAGCCTCACACAAAACAACAAAGAACTAGAACTATTGGGAGTATGAAACCAGAGGATGAGGATGCGATGTAAAATGATATCTTCTGGATTTGACCTGACTGCTGTACTCATGAGCTAATAAAGGGGTGTGACTACCTGTACAGGCTTGGGCCACTCAACATTGACCATGGATGAGGAGGAGCTTATGAGCCCCTGCCTTCTCCTAGGAGCTAGTGGCTGTTAATGATTGCTGGGGAAAGGAGGTCATATCAATCCGCTGTAGCCACGGGGACATTGCCCTTGATCAAGTAAATAAACCCAACCCACCCATGCTCATGGAAGCAAGCCTAGTGAAAGTCAGTGGAACACACACCAACGCAAGGCAATGGAGGGAGCGTGCATGTTGGGTAGAATGGATCCAGAGCAAGTGGGGGGGTGGTGAGAGAGGGTTATGGAGGAACTCAGTGAAAGCATCAAGCCCAGGCCCTGAGCAGGCACTGTCTCCCACGATGAGCTGTCAAGGACAATATCAAGGGAAGAATGAGTGAGTATTGTCATCCAACCTCATAAAGACAGCAGATGGAGTCTGCAGGGATGAAGGTATGGGTGGGAGACATGGTTAACCACCAAGGAAGCAAAAGAGCACCAACCAAAGCGAAGAGCTGTCTCTTTGGTTGGATCATTACATACTGGCTTGAATTTTTAATCTTTAAGTAGCATGTTGTTCAAGTAAAACAACAACCACAAAGGAACAGAAAGAGAATTAAGACCATCTACCTAGGCTCCTGATAGTAGTGCTGAAGGGTCAATGGACTGAGAAGACTAAACAGTCCTATACAAGCCTCTCTACACCCTTTCCTCCTATCAGTGTAGCCAAGGGATGTTGGATGAGGAAATGCTGTAACCAGGAGGTCATGATGCCCTTCTTAGGTAATGAGGGAAACTGGACTAGGATAGATCCCTTTGAGTTATCTGCCATACTCCTGATGGAGCTTCCCCAGGTCCCCGAGGACCCCAGGCTTCCTGCCAACTCACCAGGAGAGGGTGGCTATAAGGCATGGATTGTCCGGAGCCAGTGTTATATGCCTCTGGAGGCTGGTAGTTTGAGTCTCAGATTCCACAGAGGACAGTGTCTCCTTAATTGGCCAATGGAGACAGCAAGTCCCAGCTCTACCATGTAGACTATCCTCCCCAATAGAGTGAACCCAACTATAGACACCCACACTCTGCCCCAGCAGGTGTTGGAGAGGAAAAAAGGCAGGAAACCCAGTGTTAGACTTGATAAGACACAGAACCTGCCACAACCAGGACTTGCATGTACAGACACTCATGAAACTCTGGGTCTACACATCTGCCCATACCCACCGCATCCCATTGTCCACAAGGCCATAGCTAACCTAAAGAAGGAAAAGGTGTCTATTTTCAGCACAGACCAGCCTCAATAGCATGGGGACCTGAGGAACTTGGCTGATGGTATCTGACGTTGTGTATCCTGAGTCCCACCCGGATGAGGTAAGGTCAGCCTGTTACATGTGAAGGATGCTGGCAGTAGGAGACACTGTACATTGTGGGCATCACGGGTGGGTGCTCAGCAATAATTGTGGAGTCGGCTGTCTAGACAAATGTGTCCTGTGGTTGTCAACTTTCACATTAGTCCAGGTCAGGGCTAGTGGTTCTGGGAGGCTCCACACGGTGTTACTGTCTTGAACACCAGCCCCAATTCTGCAGCCATGTGGGATGAAGCTCCACACCCATCACAGGACACAGTGATATTGTAGGCTTAGGAGGGGCAGGGCTGAGATGAGCACAGTAACTCTGATCTCCAGCAGCAGACCACCCATGGCCACCTTCTCTTTCCACATATGGCTCTAGGTGTGTACACCCTTGGCTAGCTGGGAAGAGTATGCTTGTGCTTGATCCAACAGGAAACACAAGATCTGGCGTGGCATGGACACATACATCTCACTGGACACAAAGGAAACCCGTGTGGTAGGTTCTTAAATCCCTGTCAGGTGTGTCCAGTGTGAGCACAAAGCTTCCTGCATGCCTTTGATCTTGTACGGGAAAGTTAGTTATGTAGTATGTGGTGGGCTCAGATGGGGCCCTCCAGATTCGGTGTCCTCACTGAATGTAGCATATGGTAGACAGTACAATGGCTGAATCCCTGCAGCTGAGGGATGGCCCTGATCTCCCAGGATGGTGTAGAACAGACATTCCATTCCTCTCTAGCCAGGCTCCTATCTCCGGCAGCCTCTCACATTTCTCCCGGGGACAAACAGCAGCAATCGTAGCAAGCCCTACAAGATGTTTGTATGTATTCCAGAATGTGGACATAATGAGGAGAGACAGTGACTGTGAATGGCCCAAAGACACTGAGCAGAGGCCAGCCTCATCTGGTTTTAAATAGCAAAGAGTAAGACCTTGTGAACCCCAAAACTGAGGTTGGAGCAGGGACACAGCTGGCAATGAGGTGAGGTTAGAGGCCGTGAGCATGTCCCAAATATGTCTGCCCTAATCCTGGTGTTTCCTAGGACAGGGGCTACCCCCTCTTCATAAGCTCCGACATCTAGATGTTGGCAGGAACCCCACACATCAATCTGGCAGTCTGCACATTGATTGCCACTGTGTGCCAGCGTTCAAGCCCCAGTGGCTGAGGTGAGGTCACAGTCCTGTGATGCACACAATGGCACAGCCTGAGTCTGGGAAGGGCAGTTTCCTGTTCTGATGCTATCCTACAAAGGAAAGAATCACACAGCCCAATTTGTTGGAGGACAGAAGGACCTTGTGAACAATTTTGAATCAGTAAGATGAATAACTAGGAGCTGATAAGTGGGACTCAGTAGACAGTCATATCAATGGCACTTCTCAGGAGTGTCCCTTGGTAGTTTGAAAACAGGAGCCAGGGGCAGGCATAGGGTTACTGAGAGGCTGTCTGTACGCTTGAGAGTCACTAAGGTCTGGAAGCTTCTTTGTATACTCAGAGCAGCTCAGGCTCCTACAGAGGGAAGGCTCAGTACAACCTCATGAAATAAGTAAATCTGAGGAAATAATGTCCCCTTTCAGGCCACATCTGCTCATCTGGACAGAGATCAGAGCAGCTACTGAACTTTTGCACAAAGGACAGCATGTCACCAGCAAGTTCCTGCAGCCTATGGAACAGCCAACTACTCTGGTGAGGTCTATCTCCCGGTGCTCCCTCTCTCTGCACTGGTGAGGTCTCCAGTGCTCCCTCTCTCTGCCTCCTCTGCTCTCTCTTCAGCTGTCCCCACTCATGGCCACACCCATCCACAGAAATGGAAGTCTCTCAGCAGTGTCCTTGCAGGGATTTGTGCTGGTGGGATTTGGGGGAGGCGCAGAGACCCAGGCCCTGCTCTTTGCTGCCTTCCTGGCCCTGTACGTGGTGACTGTCCTGGGCAACCTCACCATGATCGTGGTCATCACCCTGGATGCCCACCTGCACTCCCCCATGTACTTCTTCCTCAGGAACCTGTCCTTCGTCGACCTCTGCCTCTCTTCTGTTATTGTGCCCAATGCCCTCGCCAACGTCTTCTCCTCTTCCAAGGTCATCAGCTTTGCAGCGTGTGCCACTCAGTTCTTCTTATTCTCCTTGTTGGCTACCACTGAGGCTATCCTCTTAGCTGTGATGGCCTATGACCGTTTCATGGCCATTTGTAGTCCGTTAAGATACCCTGTGACCATGTGCCCTATGACCTGTGCCCGTCTGGTTCTGGGTACCTACTGTGTGGGCTGCCTGAACTCTATTGTGCAAACCAGCCTCACATTCCGGCTGCCCTTCTGCAGCTCCAACCACATCGATTTCTTCTTCTGTGACGTGCCCCCGCTGCTCCAGCTTGTCTGTGCAGACACAACTCTCAATGAGCTTGTCATGTTTGGCATCTGTGGGTTCATCATTGTGGGTGCTGTGCTTGCTGTCATTGTCTCCTATGGCTACATCACCGTGACCATCCTCAGGATGCACTCAGGGGCAGGGCGGCACAAGGTCTTCTCCACCTGTGGCTCCCACCTGACAGCCGTGTCCTTGTTTTATGGAACTGGCTTTGCTATATATGGCCAGCCAGGAGGCGTGGCATCCATGGACCAGGGCAAGGTAGTCTCCACCTTCTACACTCTGGTCATCCCCATGTTCAACCCCCTCATCTACAGTTTTCGCAACAAGGATGTAAAGGATGCCCTGAGGAGGCTGGGTCAGAGACACAGTCTGGTGAAGAAGAGTGCCTGGTGTCGTCATCAGGAACTATGCTAGGGTTATAGATGGAAAGTATCCTTGGGAGACAGTGTCTTATTTCAGTTTTCTGTCTACCTATCCTGTTTTCTTTGTCTTCTTATTTCCTACTTTCTATCTTCCTGGCTTCTCTTCTTCATTCATTCATATATTCATCCACCTATGTATCCGACAACACACCCATCTGTTCACTATCTACCCTGTCTTTCTTGACAAGCACAGGGTTCAGCAAATCTCACAAGTCCCCATAACTTTGGGCTCTGACACAATGACACAAATATCTAAACAGCAGGACTCAGGCCATTTTGTCTTTCCTCTCTCATGCAAGCTCACTGCAGGGTTTTATCATAGCCCAGGGGTTCTTTTTTCTAAGCTGAGTTTCTCTACTTTCTGATTTATATTGATGCCAAACTGTGTTATAGAAAAAGAACCGTCTCTGGTTTTAACCATCTGCCCCTAAAATGACCTCCACCATGGAAGCACAGGCTAATAGTCAGTTTCTAGAAAGAGATGTCTGGCTGTGCAGAGCTCTGCCTTGCCCCTGTGTTTGCTTGTGTATATAAAGGAATAGGGAAGAAAAAAGAAAATATTCAAAAGAATCATGAGACCTTTCCAAGGCTCCCTGTTTCTCGCCTGCATGGCACTGGCCCATCCCACACTGCCATCTCCTGGGCACTGGGTGTCCCCACCAATCAGGTGACTAATTTTCCTCAGCTGTGCTGGAGAAGCCACACACAGAAACCACATCAGATTCCTTGACTCTGGTTGTTAAAGGCATTATCAGATGCATGAAGCAGCTAAGCTCCTAGTCTCAGGTAATAAGAACCTACGGAGTCTAAGCTCAACATTTGTGAGAAGGAAATAAGGAACTCATGGGAAGACAGTATCAAAGAGAGTGATGAATTTCCTGTAAACGTCATAAATAGAAATGATTTAAAAGAATAATCTTAAAAAAGAAAGACAGTAAACAGTGTGCACCATTATTTAATGTTCTAACCCAGAAGACAAGTCCTGCAGCTGTTTCCCCTTTGAATGCCAGGGCCATACACACAGAGGAGTGTGCCTTTCTATAGATGTGGTCTCTCCCAGAGGAGGTGCATTAACTTTATCCCACAGACGGAACCAATAAGAAAGTGAATACAGAGGGCGCTCCTTCCTGAGCTGCACTACAGAGGATAACAAGGAAACAAATGAAACTGTCATGGTCCCCTCTACAAAGCACCATCCAGTTAGGACCCAGAAGTAGTAGCAAGTGTGGGAGTCTAGGAAGGGAAAGTTTGCGGCTGCAATTGTATAGCTACGAGGTGAGACCTGAAGGCAACTGGTCAGGCTCACTACATGTGAGACTGAGCTTTGCCTGAGGCAATTCGCACAGGGCTAGAGGCCGGCCCGTGGGAGTCCTAGTGGCCGCAGGAGGAAGACAAGAGTTTTCCATCTCAATAAGACTTAGATCTGAAGTGTAGTGGTTAATGCACTCAGTCCCTCCAGGTCATTCGCCATGACAGTGCCTCAGATAGCTAGCTCTCCTGCTTTATCGAAGGCAACACAGGGGCTTAGGACATCCAAGGATTAGTCCTTCAATTGATGTCCTCCAAACTGCTGCGATTGTGGCATTTGACTCAAGAAGAGAAGATGGAAACCTCTGCGGAGGTCTCTGTTTCTAGCACTGCTCGTATACAGTAGATACTAGGTAGACCTCCAGCTAGAAGGGACGGTGAAACAATGAAAGTGATAAAAGCCAGAGCAGACAAGTAGCTGTCATGAAAACTCACCAACAACACCTCGGAGGCTCCCAGGTGCCACTGGGATGAATGAGCAGTCTCTAAGGAGGAGCAGTCTAAGGAGCAATGTATTCCAAGGAGGACCCAGAGTGACCCCCTGAAGATGTCAGGGACAGCACGAGATGTGGCGGATGCTGTCAGCCTTGCTGCACAAGTCCTTCAAAGGACTCTACTCAGCTGTGGCCAGTTCAGGGTGAGCTCTGGTGAGGCACAGCTGAGGTCTATTTAATAAGGCAAAATAAGCAGGGCTTAGGGTACATGCTTTTAATCCCAGTGCTTATGAGGCAGAGGCAGGCAGATCTCTGTGAGTTCAAGGCCAGCCTGGTCTATATAGTGCGTTCCAAGACAGCCAGAGCTGCATAGTGAGACCCTGTCTCCAAAAAAAAAAATAGAGAGAGGAAGGGAGGGAGGGAGGGAGGAAGGGAAGAAGGAAGGAAGGAAGGCAAAATTCACACTCAGAGTGGAGTGTTTATATTGAATGTAGGGGTTAAAAGTGTGTATCTAAATTCAGGAGTTAAGAGGCACTTAGTGCTTAATTGCAGCTATGTGTGATTTGTGGCCTTTGAAGGTATGGTGCTCCAAGGCCATAACCCACGAGTGAGCGCAAAAATTAAATCTGTCAACTGGTTATTTCTCTAAAGTGTGCTTGTTTCTCTAAAAACTTTCCTTTTGCAAATGGGACTGTAAACCAGCTCATGAGGCACACTGCTCAGGTTTGGAGATGAGAATGGCATGCTGATAAAGCTAAAATAAAAATAAAATAAAATCATGAAGATGTAAGATATGCATTCGGCTGGAAGCAGGGTTCATCAGTCCTGTCAGTAGTCTTGTTTGGCATGCCTCTCAGGAAAGGGCCTCCAGGCCGTGTGCAGTCCATTTCTGCACATTGTTCTTGCTGGACTCAGAAGAGCCAGGTGGATTCAGGACCCACCTTGTCTAATATGATTTCACCTGCAAGCAAAGTAAAGCCCTCTTCTGGATTTCCAGATGGGTGTAAGGTGGGGGTGGGAGAGGTTCTACCTGCTTGCTGTGTTCTTCTCTGAGGAAACACCACTGTGACCACTAAGTGCATATCATGTGTACATTAAGGAGATCCGTAATTAGGCTTTACTCCATTTTAATTCATCTGACAGCTTTCCTGTTTTGTCCATTTTGGAGAGTGATGTGGTAAAACATTAGCTGTGGTCTGCAGGCACTTTTCTTCTTTAATCATAAGCTTTATTGATATGTAGTTTTCATTTTTTTCTTGTGTGGATACATAAGAGAGTTCATCAGCTATACATCCTTATGTGTGCATAATATATTTTGATCACAATCACCCCCATTGCCCTTTCTTCTTCCTCCCATTCTTGATAGCCTTTCCCTTCCTATCCCCACCTCTATGTCTATATCCTTTTTTAAGGGGGCAAACAAACGAGTTACTATAGGCGCATGAGTAAGAGGTTGTTTGCAGGAGTGTGGACAAGTTGCTAGAGGCTATACCACTTGAGACCATCTCTGCCCTTTCCTCCAGCAGTCATTAACGGCCTATAATCTGTGAATATGAATATTTAGAAGGCAATTTGACAGACATGTCATGTGCAGTGGACAGTGGTTATTGCAGAGACCTCATAGCTGTTCCAAGTACTAAGAATAAGCTACTGTTGAATGCTCGGCCCCAAATGGGAGCCTCTATTAGCCTCTAAATCTCAAGGAACCTTATAGAAAAAGGGAAGACCTATAAGATCCAGAAGATGGGGTGGTTATGTGGGATGTTGTCACCCGTGCACGGCATGGCCAGTGCACTCTTGAGTCTCAGTAGCTGTGACCTCGAGGTCAAAGGACATGTACAAGAGTGGGTTTGACTAGGCTTTATGGTATCAGATGTGAAGTCCTTCCTGTAGAGTGGGTCCAACATCCAAGCAGAATATGGTTGGTTTCTCACATAACATCCCGTGGGCTCATCTTGCCCGGCAGGTCAGTGAGCACATGGTGCCCACTGCTGAGTAAAACCATGGATGGCAATTTCTAAGCAGCCTGTAAGGCACTTTCTGCCACTGTTATTTCCAGGCAACAGGGAAGAAGCTTCCAGCTCAGCTCCAGCTTGGTTTCTCTGCATCCTGCAACCAAAGCATGTGACATCTCCAGCCATCTATGTTGTGTATTTAAATCATTCTTGGCTATCAACAAAATAATTTTTCACCTATCCACTTTGAGAAAAACCTTTTACTATGAAACATATCTTTATAGATGAAGATCTTCCCTTAAGCTCTACTTAAACAGCTATGCCAGAGTTTTCATGGCTTAACGACTTCAGGCATTTTACTTTCATGTTTTCTAAATATTCATATGAAAGTCATGCTTCTTCTACACCCTGATTTGGCTTTCTCAAAACTCTGGGTCATTGTGTGTTTTTATAATTATTATTATTAATTCACGTTAGGGAACAGGCTTGTTTCACATGTATGTCCCCTCTCCCTCTCCCTCTCCCTCTCCCTCTCCCTCCGCTCACCCCATCCCTCCTCCCCCCCCTCCAACCTCCCCCCCACCCCACCCCCCCACCACTCCCCAGGCAGGGTAGGGCCCCCAACAGGGGCTCCGCAAAGTCCACCAAATCTTCCTGTGCTGGGCCTAGGCCTCCCCGTGTGTCCAGAGACAGAGCACATCCCTTCACGTGGGATGGGCTCTCAAAGTCCCACACACACACCAGGGGAAAATGCCAGTCCACCTCCAGAGGCTCCCCCATTGGCATCCCATTGTGTGGTTTTTGTTGGTTTGTGTTTGCTTCTGAGACGGGGTCTCACTAGTAGCTCAATCTGGCTTTGAACATGTGTCCCTTCTAAAGCAGCCTCCAGAGTTCTGTGACTACAGGCCACCATGCACAGCCTTATACTTTGCATCAGCCCACGCTTTAACTCTATTTGATTATGAGGCCAAATTAAAGTGACTCCCAATGGGTAAAGTAGAGACAATTTTAGCAGGAATAAAGCCACAACTCTAAGGTGAGTGAAAAAAGCATAGACTTGCTTGCTGTTGAGTTCTTGCTGACACAAAAAGTACTGACCACTAGAGGGCACTAAGAGCCAACTTGCCATTTTGAAATGGCCTCTAAAGAACTAGATCAGTGATTTTCAATCTATGGGTCATATGGTATGTCGGATATCCTGCATATGAGATATTTACATTACAATTCATAGCAGTAGCAAAATTACAGTTGTGGGGTAGCAATGAAATAATTTTATGGTTGGGGGTCACCACAAC